AATTTTTTTGAATTTTACAATTGCTCGATTTTTCGACTTTACAATGTTTCAATTTTTAGTTTTTCGATTTTGCAGTTTTTCGTTCTTGAATTTTTTTATTTTACAATTTTTCGAGTTTTCAATTTAAAATTTTTATTGTTTGATTTTTCAACTTCTAGTTTCAATTATTAGGCATCTTTAAATATTAGATACATATTTCGATTTGTCGATTTTTCTATTTTTCAATTTTTTGAGTTTTTAAATTTTAGATTTTTCTTTATACTTCTTGCTTTCAGATTTTTTGATTTTTCAGTTTTTCCATTTTTTTAAATTTGTAGTTTTCCTATTTTTCAATTTTTTGATTTTTCAGTATTTACATTTTTCAACCTTTCCACTTTTTGATTTTTAACTTTTTCGATTTTTTGAATTTTAGATTTTCTAATTTTTAGATTTTTTTCATGTTTTGCTTTTTGGATTTTTCATTCTTATTCAGTCTTTTAATTTTTCGAATTTTCAATTTTTCGTTTCATCAATTTTTCGACTTTACAGTTGCTCAATTTTTGGACTTTACAGTGTTTCAATTTTTCAGTATTTCGATCTTCAAGATTTGCAATTTTTGGATTTTTCATTTGTTAAATTTTTTGATTTTACAATTTTTCGACTTTTCAGTTTTAAATTTTTATTGTTTTATTTTACAACTTTCAGTTTCCATTAATTAATTTTTGGTTTCTTCAATTTTTGTGTTTCAAATTTTTTATATTTCAATTCAATTTTTTTTCTTCCAATTTTCAATCTTATAATTTTTCGGTTTTTCAATGTCCGATTTATAACTTTTTGTTTTTTCAATTTAAATTTTTTCAATTTTTTTGTTATCTGCAATTCTTTGAGTTTTCTTTCATTTTTATATTTTTCAGTTTTTCGATTTTCCAAATTATGAATGTTTGAATTTTTAGATTTTGCAATTTTTCGATTTGCAATTACAGGAGTTTTCAATTTTTAATTCATCAATTTTTCAGTTCATCAATTTTTTGTTTATTCAATGTTTCACTTTTCCAACTTTTTTTAGATTTTTCAATTTTTCGACTGCTTTATTCATATTTTGATTTCTCCATTTTTCAACTTCTCGATATTGTAAATTCTAGATTTTTCGATTTCTCGAGTTCTCAGTTCTTCTATATTTTAATTTTTTAATTTTCCCAATTTTTAACTTTACGATTTTTCGATTTTGGCCTATTTCGGTTTCTCAATTTTTCGACTTCTCGACCCTCCGATTTTTTGATTTTTCGATTTCTGGGTGACCGAGTTTTTGAATATTTCGATGTTTCGATTTCTGTATTATTCGATTTTTCAATTTTACAATTTTTTTTAATTTTCGATTTCTCGATTTGTTGATATTTTAGTTTTTCGATTTTTAAATTTTTAAATTTTTATTTTTTATGTTTAGATTTCTCCATTTTTCAATTTTACGATATTTTAATTTTCCAATGTTTTTTCGATTTTTCAGTCCTTCAATATTTTTTAATTTTTCAAATTTTGACGTTTCAGAATTTTCAGATTTCCGATTTCTCGATTAATCTACTTTTTGATTTCCCAAAGTTTCCATCTTTCAGTTCTTCAATTTTTCGATTTTTCAGGTTTCTGATTTTTCAATTTTTCGATTTTTTAAATTTGAGATTTTTCGACTTTGCTTTTTGACTTCTTTGATTTTTCAATTCTTTAACTTTCTAGTTTTTGAATATTTTGTTCAATTTTTCGATTTTTCTAATTCTGGATATTACGATTTCTCGACTTTTTACTGTTTGGCTTTTCAATTTTTCGTTTTTTAAACTTGGATTTTTCAATTTTTCGACTGTTTTATACTTCGATTTCTCAATTTTTCAACTTTTCAGTTTTTAAAATTTTAGGTTTTTCAATTTCTCGAGTTTTCAGTTCTTCTTTATCTCAATTTTTCAATTTTCGGAACTTATAAATTTTCGATTTTTCATTTATCCAATTGTTCTCGGTTTTTAAATTTTTATTTTTTTTTATTTCTTTATTTCTCGATTTTACAATTTTTCGATATTTGAATTTTTCAAGTTTTAATTTTGCCATCTTGTTTTTTCGATTTTTAAAATTTTTCGACTTTTCGATTTATAGATTTCCCGATTTTTCAAGTTTTCGATTTCTCAATTTTTCAACTTCTCGATATTGTAAATTCTAGATTTTTCGATTTCTCGAGTTCTCAGTTCTTCTATATTTTAATTTTTTAATTTTCCCAATTTTTAACTTTTCGATTTTTCGATTTTGGCCTATTTCGGTTTCTCAACTTTTCGACTTCTCGACTTTTCGACCCCTCGATTTCTTGATTTTTCGATTTCTCGATGATTGAGTTTTTGAATATTTCGATGTTTCGATTTTTGTATTATTCGATTTTTCCATTTTCCATTTTTTTTTAATTTTCGATTTCTCGATTTGTTGATATTTTAGTTTTTCGATTTTTAAATTTTTCAATTTTTATTTTTTGATGTTTAGATTTCTCCATTTTGCAGTTTTACGATATTTTCAGATATCCGATTTCTCGATTAATCTAATTTTTGATTTCCTAAAGTTTCGATCTTTCAGTTCCTCAATTTTTTGATTTTTTAAATTTGAGATTTTTCGACTTTGCTTTTTGACTTCTTTTCATTTCTTTAACTTTCTAATTTTTGAATATTTTGTTCAATTTTTCGATTTTTCTAATTCTGGATATTTCGATTTCTCGACTTTTTACTGTTTGGATTTTAAATTATTCGTTTTTTAAACTTGGATTTTTAAAATTTTCGACTGTTTTATACTTCGATTTCTCAATTTTTCAACTTTTCGATTTTCTAACTTTTCAGTTTTTAAAATTTAAGGTTTTTCAATTTTTATTTTTTCATGTTTAGATTTCTCCATTTTTCAATTTTCCAATGTTCTAAATTTTAGCTTTTCGATTTTTCAGTTCTTCAATATTTTTTAACTTTTCAAATTTTGACGTTTCAGAATTTTCAGATTTCCGATTTCTCGGTGAATCTAATTTTTGATTTCCTAAAGTTTCGAACTTTCAGTTCTTCAATTTTTCGATTTTTGAGGTTTCAGTTTCCAATTTTTCGATTTTTTAAATTTGAGATTTTTCGACTTTGCTTTTTGACTTCTTTGATTTTTCAATTCTTTAACTTTCTAATTTTTGAATATTTTGTTCGATTTTTCTAATTCTGGATATTTCGATTTCTCGACTTTTTACTGTTTGGATTTTCAATTTTTCGTTTTTTAAACTTGGATTTTTCCATTTTTCGACTGTTTTATGCTTCGATTTCTCAATTTTTCAACTTTTCGATTTTCTAACTTTTCAGTTTTTACAATTTTAGGTTTTTCAATTTTTATTTTTTGATGTTTAGATTTCTCCATTTCTCAATTTTACGATATTTTAATTTTCCAATGTTCTAAATTTTAGCTTTTCCATTTTTCAGTTCTTCAATATTTCTTAATTTTTCAAATTTTGACGTTTCAGAATTTTCAGTTTTCCGATTTCTCGATTAATCTACTTTTTGATTTCCCAAAGTTTCGATCTTTCCGTTCTTCAATTTTTCAGGTTTCTGAATTTTCACTTTTAAATTTAAGATTTTTCGACTTTGCGTTTTGACTTGTTTGATTTTTCAATTCTTTAACTTTGTAATTTTTGAATATTTTGTACAATTTTTCGATTTTTCTAATTCTGGATATTTCGATTTCTCGACTTTTTACTGTTTGGATTTTCAATTTTTCGTTTTTTAAACTTGGATTTTTCAATTTTTTGACTGTTTTATAATTCGATTTCTCAATTTTTCAAATTTTCGATTTTCTAACTTTTCAGTTTTTAAAATTTTAGGTTTTTCAATTTTTATTTTTTGATGTTTAGATTTCTCCATTTTTCAATTTTCCAATGTTCTAAATTTTAGCTTTTCGATTTTTCAGTTCTTCAATATTTCTTAATTTTTCAAATTTTGACGTTTCAGAATTTTCAGTTTTCCGATTTCTCGATTAATCTACTTTTTGATTTCCCAAAGTTTCGATCTTTCCGTTCTTCAATTTTTCGATTTTTCAGGTTTCTGAATTTTCATTTTTAAATTTAAGATTTTTCGACTTTGCGTTTTGACTTGTTTGATTTTTCAATTCTTTAACTTTGTAATTTTTGAATATTTTGTACAATTTTTCGATTTTTCTAATTCTGGATATTTCAATTTTTCGACTGTTTTATACTTCGATTTCTCAATTTTTCAACTTTTCGATTTTCTAACTTTTCAGTTTTTATAATTTTAGGTTTTTCAATTTCTCGAGTTTTCAGTTCTTCTATATCTCAATTTTTCAATTTTCGGAACTTTTAAATTTTCGATTTTCCATTTTTTTTTTAATTTTTCGATTTTCCAATTTTTCGATGTTTCGATTTTTCATTTATCCAGTTATTCTCGGTTTTTAAATTTTAATTTTTTTGTATTTCTTCATTTCTCGATTTTACAATTTTTCGATATTTGAATTTTTCAAGTTTTAATTTTGCCATCTTGGTTTTTCGATTTTTAAAATTTTTCGACTTTTCGATTTATAGATTTCCCGATTTTTCAAGTTTTCGATTTCTCAATTTTTTCAACATTATCAGTTTTGGGAACTTTTCAATTTTTTTTCAATTCTGGACGCTTAGAGTCGATATTGGCGTGAGCGCGCTCCGGTCTGTGGATCAAACATGTTCCCAGGCGACGACTTACCAAAAATTGTTATCGCTAATTCCACATAATAGAAGTTTAATATTTTGTGTGAAAATGGAACACTTGAATGAAAATAATTGCCCAAATGTGTTTGCCCAATTTTTTGCAGACCGTACGCATTTAAAAAAGCCCTTAACATTTAATCACTTTTTCCAAATGGGGATATTAAAAAGGACAAATTATAACTCTAGAGAATGATAAATCGATAGAAAGACAGATAGGAAGTGGAATTCCAGCAAGAAATACTTTTTAAATTCATAATTATTGGCATAACATTAATAGTACCTTGGTAGCACCTCATGTAGGTGAGCTGTCCGAACCTCCCCGCTTCAAGCTTGAACGCCAGCGCCACAAACTTCCTACTATCAGCCCTCCTAGACGCATCCAAGGGTACCCTCTCCGGGTCCGCCCCCTCCTTCTCCCTCAGCGCGTAATTCGGCACCTCCCCCGGGTTCGGTAAATACTCTAAAACCGCGTCCAGCAGCGGCTGCACCCCTTTATTTTTGAGCGCCGTCCCCACCAACACCGGCGTGAAAGTCCTCTTCAGGCACGTCCTCCTAATCGCCACCTTAATATCGTTTTCCGTGATTGGTCTCTCCTCCAAGTACATCTCCCCCAGGACTTCGTCCACGTTGGAGACGTGCTCGATGAGTTCGCGTCGTCTCGCTTCGCTCTCGACCTTCATATCCCCCGGGATTTCATCATACCGAACTTGGTCCCCCAACGGCCCCTCGAAGTAGATAGCTTTGCGACGGATCAAGTCAATCACCCCCTTGCAGTCGCTCTCCAACCCAATCGGGAGCTGAATAAAAGCGGCGTTGTGGTTCATTTTCGATTTCATTTGTTCGAGGACCCGGCGCGGGTCGGCCCCCAGACGGTCGAGTTTGTTGATGAACGCGAGACACGGGACGTTGTAGCGCTTCATTTGGCGGTTCACGGTGAGGCTCTGACTCTGCACGCCGCCTACAGCGCAAAGCACGAGAATCGCCCCATCCAGAACCCTCAGCGCTCGCTCCACTTCCACCGTGAAATCAACGTGTCCCGGTGTGTCAATTATGTTAATGTTGTGGTCCTGCCACAGCGTGTACGTGGCGGCCGACTGGATCGTGATCCCCCGTTGACGTTCCAGCTCCATTGAGTCCATTGTGGCCCCCACGTTGTCTTTGCCTTTGACTTCGTGCATCGACTGGATCCGGCCGGTGTAAAATAAAATTCGTTCGGTGAGGGTGGTCTTGCCGGAGTCGATGTGGGCTGAGATTCCGATGTTCCGGATTTTGTCTATGGGTTTGTGCTCGGCATACTTGGTGAAATCTGCTTTAAATCGCGAAAAAATGTGCTGCAAAGTTTGAGGTTAGTTCGGACGGTGGGGGTTTTTCGTGCAAGTACTTACTCGAGATGCCTTCCCAGGGGTGTGTAGGAATGTGTGTGATACGGTTGTGGCCAATTTGATGTATTGTAGTACGGTCATTGCTAATTTGTCAAAAAATTTAGAAAATTTAGAATTGTCAAATTGTCGCTTTCGAGAACAAGAGGAAGTGAGGTTAGGGAGGGTTTAGGGAGTTTGGGTTTGTGTGGTTGGTGTTACTGGCGAATATAAAATTTGAACAAAAGGAATATCAGTTTATATTAAAATAAAAAGATAACTACAGTACGATACAATTGGTTTATACTACGGTTATTATACTATATAATGTGGTTTATACTTTGTTTGAAATTATTGTTCATGCGGTGAGAGATTGAGTGACAGAAAAGTCACTAAATCTACGCGAAAAAAAGTGTACTATCCGCGCGAAATTTGAAATTTCAAAAAATAAGTTTTACCATGGCCGACTAGTATAAAGATTATGGCCTGTCCAAGAGGTACGATACGTGTTGCCATCTATTAATAATTACACATTTAGCAAAATTTTAATTTGACTTGACATTATGGGACTTCAAAACGTGTAATGGTGGTTTGTTTGGGTATGAATGCCTTTGTGCCTTTCAAAAGGTGTTAATAATTCTTTTGTCGATTTTGAATTATTAATAGATGGCAGCACGTATGGTACCTTTGGCATTCCTTTGGACAGGCCATAATCTTTATACTAGTCGGCCATGGTTTTACATTACTCTAGAATTTATGTCTCCCAATAACAGAAAACGATGTCTATTATCATTATACCTTTGTATTCTCCTTTGATGTTCAACTTTTGCCGTATTTAAAGGGTTGTAGAAGAAGAGTGGAGGATTTAAGTTGATTACTATAAAAATTTACCATTTAGACATCTTTTAAGTTTCTTGTTGTCGAAATAAGTCTACACATACTAAGAGAAAAAGGTAAAATGTAGCCCCGCCCACCCGCCCTATCTCAATTGTGATATATTTTTTTTATTCGTCGTGAGCCAAGGAGGCGGAGCTTAACTGCAAAATCCATATTTCCTTACAAAAATTTACCATTTTAAACGTGTTTTAAGTTTCTCAGAATAAAAAAAATCGTCACAATTGAGATGGGGTGGGTGGGCGGGGCTTATATTTTGCCTTATTTGCTTAATATACATAGTATTCTTTGAACAACACGATACTCAAAAACATGTTTTTAATTTATTGTAAATAAATAAGTATTTTGCAGTTAAGCTCCGCCCCCTCGGTTCACGGTGAATAAAAAAAATCATCACAATTGAGATAGGGGGTGGGCGGGCTTATATTTTGTCTTTTTGTTTCAATACGTGTAGACTTCTTTTCACAATTTGAAACTTAAAACATGTTTAAAATGGAAAATTTGTATAAAGAAATATCGATTTTGCAATTAAACCCCGCCCCATAATTGCAAAATCCATATTTCCTTGCAAAAATGTACCATTTTAACCATGTTCTAAGTTTCTTGTTGTGAAAAGATGGCTATGTATGATTTTTCACATTCAAAATTTGATCATTCCATGGGGGAAATACTTTGGTGCAAAAAACTAGCCCCCCTCCCGCTCCTTGTAGGTGGGGCGGGACACTGAAGAGACAGACTGACTGACTGACCGACTGACTGACTCTCTGAATGACCGACTGATCGATTGACTGACCGACCGATCGACCTTTCTATAATTTTTATCCATTTTATCCCTTTTATTCTTTTTATCCTTTTTGTCCTTTTCGTTCTTTTTGTCCTTTTTGTCCTTTTGTTCCTTTTCATGCTTGACAGACTGAATGACTGACTGACTGACTGAACAGACTGATTGATTTTATGAATGACCGAGTGATTGACTAGCTGACCGACCGACCTTCCTAATCTTTTTATCCATTATCCTTTTTATAGTTTCCTTTTCGTCTTTTTCGTCTTTCCCGTACTTTTCGTCCTTTTCGTCCTCTTCGTCCTTTTTGCCCTCTTCGTCCCTTTCGTCCTTTTAATCTTTTATATCCTTTTTAACCTTTTTATCCTTTTTATCCTTTTTATCCTTTTTATCCCTTTTATCCCTTTTATCCTTTTTATCCTTTTTATCCTTTTTATCCTTTTTGTCCTTTTTGTCCTTTTTGGCCTTTTTATCCTTTTTATCCTTTTTATCTGTTTTATCCGTTTTATCCTTTTTATCCTTTTTGTCCTTTTTGTCCTTTTTGTCCTTTTTGTCCTTTTTGTCCTTTTTGTCCTTTTTGTCCTCTTTGTCCTTTTTGTCCTGTTTGTCCATTTTATCCTCTTTATCCTTTTTATCCTCTTTCCCTTTTTATCCTCTTTATCCTTTTTATCCTTTTTATCCTTTTTATCCGTTTTATTCTTTTTATCCTTTTTGTCCTTTTTGTCCTTTTTGTTCTTTTTGTCCTTTTTGTCCTCTTTGTCCTTTTTGTCCTTTTTGTCCTTTTTGTCCTTTTTGTCCTTTTTATCCTTTTTATCCTTTTTATTCTCTTTATCCTCTTTATCCTTTTTATCCTCTTTCCCTTTTTATCCTCTTTAGCCTCTTTATCGTCTTTATTGTTTTTATTCTCTTTTCCTTTTTTTCCCCTTTAGCCTCTTTATCCTTTTTATTCTTTCTATCCTTTTTGTCCTTTTTGTCCTTTTTGTTCTTTTTGTCCTTTTTGTTCTTTTTGTTCTTTTTGTCCTTTTTATCCTTTTTATCTTTTTTATCCGTTTTATCCGTTTTATCCTTTTGTCCTTTTTGTCCTCTTTGTCTTTTTTGTCCTCTTTGTCCTTTTTGTCCTTTTTGTCCTTTTTGTCCTTTTTGTCCTTTTTGTCCTTTTTGTCCTTTTTGTCCTTTTTATCCTCTTTATCCTTTTTATCCTCTTTCCCTTTTTATCCTCTTTATCCTTTTTATCCTTTTTATCCGTTTTATTCTTTTTATCCTTTTTGTCCTTTTTGTCCTTTTTGTCCTTTTTATCCTTTTTATCCTTTTTATTCTCTTTATCCTCTTTATCCTCTTTATCCTTTTTATCCTCTTTCCCTTTTTATCCTCTTTATCCTCTTTATCGTCTTTATTGTTTTTATTCTTTTTGTCCTTTTTATCCTTTTTATCTTTTTTATCCTCTTTATTCTCTTTATCTTCTTCATCCTCTTTATCCCCTTTATCCTCTTTATCCTTTTTATTCTCTTTATCCTTTTTATCCTTTTTATCCGTTTTATTCTTTTTATCCTTTTTGCCCTTTTTGTCCTTTTTGTTCTTTTTGTCCTTTTTGTCCTTTTTGTCCTTTTTGTCCTCTTTATCCTTTTTGTCCTTTTTATCCTTTTTATCCTTTTTATTCTCTTTATCCTTTTTATCCTCTTTATCCTTTTTATCCTCTTTCCCTTTTTATCCTCTTTATCCTCTTTATCGTCTTTATTGTTTTTATTCTCCTTTCCTTTTTTTCCCCTTTAGCCTCTTTATCCATTTTATCCTTTTTATCCTTTTTGTCCTTTTTGTCCTTTTTGTTCTTTTTGTCCTTTTTGTCCTTTTTGTCCTTTTTGTCCTTTTTATCCCTTTTATCCCTTTTATCCTTTTTATCCTTTTTATCCTTTTTATCCTTTTTGTCCTTTTTGTCCTTTTTGGCCTTTTTATCCTTTTTATCCTTTTTATCTGTTTTATCCGTTTTATCCTTTTTATCCTTTTTGTCCTTTTTGTCCTTTTTGTCCTTTTTGTCCTTTTTGTCCTTTTTGTCCTTTTTGTCCTTTTTGTCCTCTTTGTCCTTTTTGTCCTGTTTGTCCATTTTATCCTCTTTATCCTTTTTATCCTCTTTCCCTTTTTATCCTCTTTATCCTTTTTATCCTTTTTATCCTTTTTATCCGTTTTATTCTTTTTATCCTTTTTGTCCTTTTTGTCCTTTTTGTTCTTTTTGTCCTTTTTGTCCTCTTTGTCCTTTTTGTCCTTTTTGTCCTTTTTGTCCTTTTTGTCCTTTTTATCCTTTTTATCCTTTTTATTCTCTTTATCCTCTTTATCCTTTTTATCCTCTTTCCCTTTTTATCCTCTTTAGCCTCTTTATCGTCTTTATTGTTTTTATTCTCTTTTCCTTTTTTTCCCCTTTAGCCTCTTTATCCTTTTTATTCTTTCTATCCTTTTTGTCCTTTTTGTCCTTTTTGTTCTTTTTGTCCTTTTTGTTCTTTTTGTTCTTTTTGTCCTTTTTATCCTTTTTATCTTTTTTATCCGTTTTATCCGTTTTATCCTTTTGTCCTTTTTGTCCTCTTTGTCTTTTTTGTCCTCTTTGTCCTTTTTGTCCTTTTTGTCCTTTTTGTCCTTTTTGTCCTTTTTGTCCTTTTTGTCCTTTTTGTCCTTTTTATCCTCTTTATCCTTTTTATCCTCTTTCCCTTTTTATCCTCTTTATCCTTTTTATCCTTTTTATCCGTTTTATTCTTTTTATCCTTTTTGTCCTTTTTGTCCTTTTTGTCCTTTTTATCCTTTTTATCCTTTTTATTCTCTTTATCCTCTTTATCCTCTTTATCCTTTTTATCCTCTTTCCCTTTTTATCCTCTTTATCCTCTTTATCGTCTTTATTGTTTTTATTCTTTTTGTCCTTTTTATCCTTTTTATCTTTTTTATCCTCTTTATTCTCTTTATCTTCTTCATCCTCTTTATCCCCTTTATCCTCTTTATCCTTTTTATTCTCTTTATCCTTTTTATCCTTTTTATCCGTTTTATTCTTTTTATCCTTTTTGCCCTTTTTGTCCTTTTTGTTCTTTTTGTCCTTTTTGTCCTTTTTGTCCTTTTTGTCCTCTTTATCCTTTTTGTCCTTTTTATCCTTTTTATCCTTTTTATTCTCTTTATCCTTTTTATCCTCTTTATCCTTTTTATCCTCTTTCCCTTTTTATCCTCTTTATCCTCTTTATCGTCTTTATTGTTTTTATTCTCCTTTCCTTTTTTTCCCCTTTAGCCTCTTTATCCATTTTATCCTTTTTATCCTTTTTGTCCTTTTTGTCCTTTTTGTTCTTTTTGTCCTTTTTGTCCTTTTTGTCCTTTTTGTCCTTTTTATCCTTTTTATCCTTTTTATTCTCTTTATCCTCTTTATCCTCTTTATCCTTTTTATCCTCTTTTCCTTTTTATCCTCTTTAGCCTCTTTATCGTCTTTATTGTTTTTATTCTCTTTTCCTTTTTTTTCCCTTTAGCCTCTTTATCCTTTTTATCCTTTTTATCCTTTTTGTCCTTTTTGTTCTTTTTGTTCTTTTTGTTCTTTTTGTTCTTTTTGTTCTTTTTGTTCTTTTTGTCCTTTTTATCCTTTTTATCTTTTTTATCCGTTTTATCCTTTTGTCCTTTTTGTCCTTTTTGTCCTCTTTGTCCTCTTTGTCCTTTTTGTCCTTTTTGTCCTTTTTGTCCTTTTGGTCCTTTTTATCCTCTTTATCCTTTTTTTCCTCTTTCCCTTTTTATCCTCTTTATCCTTTTTATCGTGTTTATCCTTTTTATCCGTTTTATTCTTTTTATCCTTTTTGTCCTTTTTTGTTCTTTTTGTCCTTTTTGTCTTCTTTGTCCTTTTTGTCCTTTTTGTCCTTTTTGTCCTTTTTGTCCTTTTTGTCCTTTTTGTCCTTTTCATCCTTTTTATTCTCTTTATCCTCTTTAGCCTCTTTATCCATTTTATCCTTTTTATCCTTTTTGTTCTTTTTGTCCTTTTTGTTCTTTTTGTTCTTTTTGTCCTTTTTATCCTTTTTATCTTTTTTATCCTCTTTATCCTCTTTATCCTCTTTATCCCCTTTATCCTCTTTATCCTCTTTATCCTTTTTATTCTCTTTATCCTTTTTATCCTCTTTACCCTCCTTATCCTTTTTATCCTTTTTATCTTTTTTGTTCTTTTTGTCCTCTTTGTCCTCTTTGTTCTCTTTGTCCTCTTCATCACAAAGGTCAATAATTTAAACTAATGTCTCCATACGTTCCAATTGTCTCAATATATTATCAAAATGTGCGCAGTATTCGGTATAAAGTAAATGATTTTTAATGGCACTAGTGACATGGGCTTTGACATCATTTGTATTTCTGAAACATGGCTAAATGATTCTATCTCTAATTCAGAAATAATATCCCCTCACTTATATAATGTGTATAGGTGTGATCGTAATTATAATCAATTAAATACTTCAAGAGGTGGGGGTGTTCTTTTGGCATTGAAATGCTCTATCACTGTAGAAAATATTGATTTAACTAATCTACTTAATGAATTGATCAATGTTGAGATTGTAGGGTATAAATGCTATCTAAACAGACTACCATTCTATATATTTGTTGTCTATTTTCTAAGAACACCTTCTCATAATGATTTACTTATACTCTCTCTCTATACTAATCTTCTGACAATAACTCCAATCTAGATGATACTTACAATTTAACCACACCAACGTTCTATATTAAAGAAATTACTGAGCATGATATACTTACTGCCGTAAATTATCTCAATAATTCATATACAGCCGGTCCAGATGAATTACCTAGTTTCTTCGTACGTGACTGCAAATATGTATTTATTCAGCCTTTATTAGCAATATTTAGTACCGCCCTCAAGAATGGTGTCTTTCTATCGAAATGGAAGTTGTCTAAAGTTATACCTGTTTTTAAATCTGGAGACAAAGCTGATGTTTCAAAATATCGTCCGATCTGTATCTTATGTAATTTCTCCAAAGTTCTTGAAATTATGTATACTCTTACATATATCCTCATGTGAGAAACTTTATTTCACCGCAACAACATGGTTTCATTGATAAACGCTCAACTGTCACAAACCTGGCATGTATATCTCGATTTATTGCTGAAGACATTGATAACCAATCACAAGTGGATGTAGTATATACAGATTTTTCAAAAGCTTTTGACCGCATTGATCACAAAATTTTAACACCTAAGATTGAAGCATTTGGTATTACAGGTTTGGTTTTACATCTTTTAAAATCATATATTTCTCATAGGTCTCAGTATGTCTTCTACAATGCTTTCTCTTCTTTTACATATCAAATACATTCTGGTGTGCCGCAAGGAGCCAATCTGGGGCCGTTATTGCTCATAATGTTTATCAATGATTTGCCAACTATATCAAAATGTCCCCTTCTACTGTATGCTGATGATTTAAAACAATTACTGCAAGATGATTTAAACCGACTTAATTTGTGGTGTTCTTCCAATAAACTATATTTGAACGTGAATAAATATAAAGTAGTATCGTTTACACGTAAGACCTCTCCTACAATTTATGATTATAAGTTTGGTAATGACCCACTAATTAGAGAAAGCGTCATCAAAGATTTAGGTATCTTTTTTGATTGTAAGTTAACGTTTGTGTATCATATTAATCATATAATAGCGAAAGCATTTTCATTATTAGGCTTTATAATAAGACAAGGTAAGTCGTTTAATAATATTTCAACAATTAAGGTTTTGTTTAATTCTTATGTTGTTGCATGTTTACAATATGGATGTATTATTTGGCATCCAATTTATTTCATTCATTTAAGTGCTATTGAAGCAGTTCAGAGAAGATTTGTCAAATTTTGTTGGTCCAAAAAACATGGTATCTATCCGCAGCGTGGAATTGATAATTCCATTTTGTCAGCAGAATTTGAAATGCTATCTTTGGATAGTAGAAGACAAATCGCCATTACAACGTTCTTTCATAAAATCGTTCAGTTTAAAATTGATTGTGCTGAGTTACTAGCAAAGATTTTATTTCATGTTCCACGGCTATGTTGTAGAGGAGCATTGTTTTTATACTTTCCTGCAGCTCACACAAATATATTACTGAGATCCTCAATTTATTTAATCTGTATGTTATATAATAATAAGTTTAAGGATTTGGATGTCTTTTATCTTAATGAAATAAATTTTAGGAAATTAGCGAGGAACATGTTAAATTAATGACACTAGTTTAGTTTATTTTTTGTTACATTATTGTTTACTTACTTAGGATTTGATTTATGTTTTTTTTTGTGTTAATTAATATTTAAATCGTCGGTTCGATCTTATTTTTTGTTTATTTATAATTATTAATACTGCTCTGTAAGAGGTTCTAGGAACTGTAGGGCAATAAAGGTTATTATTATTATTATTATCCTCTTTATCCTCTTTTCCTTTTTGTCCTTTTTATCCTTTTTGTCATTTTTATCATTTTTATCCTTTTTATCCTCTTTATCCTCTTTATCGCTAACATCGAAATAGTGTGAGGGTTTCAAGTGGTTTCCAATGATTGAAGAGACAAATTAAGTTCAGAAGCTAAAGGAATGGATTGAGTATGGGAAGCAGCACAGGCAGAGGCAGAGGAAGAATGTGAACAAAAAGCGCACGACCAGGTGTTAATTTCCTTTAAATTCGAAGCTGATTGTAGGCATCATCATCAATGTTTTCAAAATTTCCAAAAATAGTTGAGGTATTGATTTTCAAAAATACGTGATGAGGTGGTGACAAATTTCACCAAAAACTTTTTTAACATAACTGCTCTTGTAATATGTAGTAAATCTATTAATAATGGGGACAAAGATGAGTCATATTACATCGGCAAAACTCTGAAACGTCCAACAAGCCCAAATTTAGCCATTCGTCAAATGAACCGTGTAGGTTACAACTGGGGAGTTAAAATAAGACGTTTGGACACATATATTTTAACATCTTTTGCTATTTATTTATAGCAATACATTTCAGCAAAATCGAGAAGGAACGTACTTTATTCATAATAGGTACAATCATGTAAAAGTTAAATTAAATAAATAACGATAAAACCCTTGTCGATTCCAGTCCCAAATTTATACACCGTTTAGCTCCATTATTACCATTCCGTGCGGCCATAATTAGTTATATATTGTTAAGTACCAGAAATTACATCACATAGGTATTACCTACGTGTCTTTTTAGTTAATTTGGAACGGATATTTGTTGTATTTGTAATTTGCCTTTACTATTCTAGTTTGGGCAATCTGCACGAGTGGATGTTAACTAAAAATATTGATTAATTTACGAAATGGCTGAAACCGATCAAAACAACATTAACATCGATCTTGAAATTAGTGACTATCCGAAAAGTAAGTTCTGATTTAACCAAATGGCAGTAACTTTAACTGAAAATTTCAGATGATTTTCTCAAATTAACCAGATTTTTCTGTTTCGAGATATTTGAAATCACTCTAATTAAGATTTTAGTGCTAGGAACTATGTACGTTACTTCGCTAAGCACGTTAGCACAAACATACTTATTTATTCAAAATTTTGACTTACGGTATTTTATTCAGTATGCCCCCACATATTTCATTCTACAATTTGTAAATAACTTTTAGCGCAACCCAGACATATTATATGATTAAGAACGTTCTAGGTAATTGCAAGTTGTTGTGGGGTTTTATTCAAAAGTCCAAAATGTCTAAAAAAGCTCAAAGAGCTTAGAATGTTTGTACCCAAGGATAAAAAAGACGAAATTTTCAAAAAAATGGAAAGGGAAGCAAGGTTTGTTAACTTTGGGATAATAGCTCTCTTAGTTTTGGGAAGCATTAGTGGTTTCGTTATTTTGTTGCCCAGTGAACAGGACGAAGATATATATTTCATTTACGAATTGATCAAAGATTTTGTGTTACCCTCTTGGAAAACTCAAGTATCACTACTGTGTTGTGTCGGTTGTGCTTTTTTTACATACGTCACAGTAGCAAACTTTTGTCAATTTATATATTGTTCATATCACATTAAGTACCAAAGAGAATTAACAGTGAACTGCGTTCGGAAAATTCATGCTTTGTGTGAAAGCCGTGGTTGTAACTGTGAGCAACATCAAGAGGAAATTAAAGAGACACTTAAGTTTGTGATTTTATATCACAATGATGTCATTGCGTAGGTAAATATTTTATATCGAGAGGAAGACACCAATTATACATTTTTAGTTATGGATCTTACGTTATAAAGCGAATTTGGCCAATAATTTTAAGTCATTCACTGTTTGGAGGACTATTTTTGATAAGTATGCTATTTTTAATGTTGACTGTAAGTTTCAATGTCCTACACAATAATTAGATTTTTTTTAAATTCAACTTCAGGTTGAGCATAATTTTATGTTGTACGCAAGGATGGTACCGATTATTGTTACTAGCACATTAACCGGTATATCTGTCATTATTCTTGGACAACATTTGCAAGACTCAGTAAGAATGTACTTGAAGATTAAGGCACTAAGTTTTGCTGTGGTTGTTTTGTTTTAGATAGTTGAATGTTTTGACGAACTCTGCACTTTAAATTGGTACAACTGGAATAAAGAAAACAAAAAAATATACTTAATAATGCTATCAAATCAGATGGTGCCTTTCAAGATCAAATTAACTGAAAATGTAGCAGTTAATTATAGCCTAGGATTTATTATTATTATTATTATTATTATTATTATTATGTCAGTGATGGTCAACAGGCAATAGCCCAATTACTGACCACCTTAGCAAAATATATGACCAACAGCTGAACCCACGAAGGCAAAGTTAAACAGACTGAATGTAGCTACATATACAAAGAAAAAACCTATTTATTTAAATATATCAAATGCATTCTGTTCCGAATTGTATAAAGTACACATCTCGTATATAGGTGAGTGTTTTACAACGTTTAAGCGAGGAGTAGGCAAATAGAAGCAATCATGAGAACGAGATGACAATCTGGGGACAAGCAAATATAATCGACTCAAAAGATCCGGACAATCAATATGAAAATGAACCAACTTTTTTAAAAAATTCAACGATGCAATAGTCCGTCTGCAATGTAAATCTCTAAACCCAAATTTATTTAAAAGAGTAATATGGGACGAACCCCTTGGTGGATAAACACCATCCGCCCTAAAAGCTAAGTACTTCAAAAAACGTCGTTGAATCTTCTCCAATGTGTCTATATGAATCCGAGAAAATGGAGACCAAACAACACTTGCATATTCAAGCTTGGATCGCACATAAGCAAAATATAAAATTTTCAAACAATCAAAGTCACTAAAACTACTGCCACATCTTAGTATAAAACCGAGTGATTTGAGAGCATTGGCACATATATTATTTATGTGATTTACAAAAGAGAGTTTGGAATCAAAAGTGACTCCCAAATCACAGAAAGAATCAACTCTAGTCAAAATGGTGTTATTGAGATCATAGGGATACAAGGTTTGGATATTTTTGTTAGTAAATGACATAATAAAGCATTTGTCAAAATTTACCGGGAGAAAGTTACAATTGCTCCAACATAGAAATTTCTGCAGATCATCTTGTAACATCCGGCAGTCATTAATACTCGAAACAGTTCTAAAAATTTTTAAATCATCCGCATACATAAGAATGTTTGAACTAATACTCTTTGCGATGTCATTTATGTAAATCACGAACAAAAGAGGTCCAAGAACCGAACCCTGAGGCACTCCAGACAAGACAGAAATACTATCTGACACATGACCATTATATTTAACGCACTGAGTCCTATTGGATAAATACGATTTAAACAATGAAAGTAATGAAGCAGAAAACCCAAAATTACTTAATTTAACCAGCAAAATATCATGATTAAGTTTGTCGAAGGCCTTGGAAAAATCAGTATAGGCCACGTCAACCTGAAGCATAGCATCAAAGCTTTCTGAAACAAACTGTGTGAATACACAGATGTTAGATATGGTGGAACGGTTACTTACAAATCCATGTTGACAATCAGATATTTTACTACGAACATTAAATAACAAAAATTTATGTAAAACAAATTCAAAAACTTTGGCAAAGTTACAAATTAGCGAAATGGGCCTGTAATTCTCAATTGTATTTCTACTCCCTTTCTTAAAAATTGGAGAAATAATAGAATGTTTCCAGATATCGGGAAAGATGGCAGAATTTATTATTAAATTAAAGATGACTGATAAGGGATGAGAAAGCACCGAAGCACAATCAGATAATAAAAAACCCGGAATATTATCGTGACCACTCGTTAAGTTACACTTAATTTTTTTTAGCGCTTTAAACACATCTGCTTCACTTATCGTGTTGAATTGTATAAGATCATTGTAAGAGTCACATACGAATTCATTCAAATTTGTGGCTTTACAGTCAGTGTAACCTGAACTAAAATGGGTTGCAAATGCATTTACTATATCTGCAGGATTACAGAGTACCTTGTTATTATAACTCATTTGGGACGGTATACCCCCTTGTTTTTTAAGTCTGCTTATATGTGTCCAGAATTTATTAGGATTGGCTTTTATGTTATTTTCCAAATCGCAGATGTAATCACGATAGGCAATTTTGACATCACGTTTTATTTCGGAACGTACAGATTTGAAATTCAAAAGATCCTCTAAACTTTTACTTCGTTTATACCTAGACCAAAGTTTCCATTTAAATTTGATTTTATTAATAATGTCAAATGTGAACCAAGGCGGGAAGGGGCTATGACGAATGTTACGAGTCTTGGGCACATAAATATCAAGGATGTTAATAAGTTTATTGTAGAATAAAGTACATGCAGTATTCGGATCATTAACTCCATTTAAAAACGACCAATTAATTTGCCCAAGATGGTGATAAAGGTTGGGATAATCAGCTTTCCGAAAGTTCCACCGTTTAACTAATATTTCAGAATTACCTAAAATCTTACTTTTTCCTTGATGAGTATCTATGGTAATTACCAGAGAAGGATGATGACTGTCTTCTGGCAAAAGATAATCATGACAACCATTAACAGAGCACTCATACTTAGTTAGAAAGAATCAAATCTAAAAGTCTGCCATTAGTGTTCATAATAGTATTAAACTGACAATAGTTATTAAGATTTAAAAAAGTGCTTAGGGCAGACAACTTGTTATTACCAACAATATTGTTCTCTAAACCAATATGATATTCAGCAATGTTAAAGTCACCTATGATAACCACACGATCATTCCATAAATCAGCAAGATTACCGAGCAAATTAAATAATGAGATATAATCATCAACAGATGACTTGGGTGGAACATAAATTACCAAAATGTAGAAAGAGACATATCTATATGTAAGTTTTACCCCCACAATGTCAATTAAATGCAACTCATCAAAACCATGCGGGGACAGATCAATCTGCAAAACAGAGAAATATTTGCGCATTGCTATCAGAACCCCACCACCTCTGGTAAGAGTAGTTTTATTAAATTTACGATCAGATCTGTATATCTCAAAATTGTCAGGACAAAATTCTGAATTAGCCACAGAATCAGTAAGCCACGTTTCAGTGAGAATTATGAGCTCAAAATTACAAGTTAGTAAAGAATTGAAAAGTTCGACTAGTTTTGAGTTTATACCTCGGGCATTTTGGTAATAGATTGATAACGAAGATAGTAAAGTGATCGAAGCAGTAGAATTATTATTAGTTGAAACGGTACCTAATAAAGTGGGATCCTCCAATGATTGCTATATGGCGGAGCCGAAAATGTCGCACTTGATTTTATCCATGGTTTTTCTAAATAACGTACATTGTTTATAGTCCCAAGCCGCATGATCATACGTAACATCAGAAACTTCAAATTCATCTGTCGCTAAACTTTCTAAATATTTATAGCAGTTGCAACATTTAAAACTATCAGACCGACAATCAACAAGTTTATGCTCTCCGGCACATTTTGGGCAGCTAGTTTTATTTTTACAATTTTTCGATACATGACCGTAGTTGTTGCAATTGTAACACCTAGTTACTTCGACAGCATCATAGATGGAACAACCATCGAGACCAATAAGACAGTGACCCACGCCCAATGCTCTTTTATATGTGTACAAATCGACTTCAATTAAGGCTTGATATACAGTATTATTTCTTTTTGTACAGCTCAGTTTTAACAAACTAACACTCGAATTAACATCAAAAATAGACTCATTTTGTTTTTTAAGGTATAACAAGAAGTTCTCCTCATCAATATCATCTGAAAAACCAGTTATTCTAATTGTTGGTCTTATACTTTTAACTTCACGAATTTCATAGTCATCAGCAAACTTACCTTTAGCAATTTGTTTGAACGATTTAGTATTTTCACACCCAAGCAGCAGTCCCCCATCCTTGAGTGGTTTTACTCTCCCAATAATATCTAAAGAAGAATTAAGAGGATCTATCGCGTTTAATACATCTGATTTAGTCTTTGAAACCGACTGAGTTTTATCTTTAGGCTGCACAATTACAGTTTTCTGAGACTTTTTTACCAAGGACTCGGCATACGATAATTTGGCATTTAATTCATCCTTATTTACCCCCTTAGATATTTGTATATCAGAATTTTTACCGCTCTTCAACGTTAAATTAAGTTTCTCAAATTCTGACTTAAGAATAATGTTTTCACTGGTTAAATCGCTAATTTTTGACTCAAGTTCAGTAACTCTAAGAGTTAAAGCACCAATATGCTCGATAAATAGCTGCGAAATGTTATCTACATGTTCCTTTACTATATTATTCATCATATTTTTTAACTGATCAGTCGAAATATAGGTATTCAGCGAAGAAACAGAGGGGTTTTTATTAACAGCTGCTTTAGCCTCCAAAAATTTTGAAGAACAGGCGGTACACGTCCATGATTCAACATTTCCCGACTCAACTAAGCCGTCGTAAGTCTCTTCAGAGATACCAGCACATACTAAATGAAAACTACCCTTACAGTCCCTATGACAAGTAACATGGTTCTCAGTACGTGTATTGACTGTCCGATTACATTTTGCACATTTAAGAGCCATACTTATTAAAAAAAAAAAAAAAATGAGAGTTTCGTGTTTTAGAGTATTATTAATGAACACCGCACCAAGTTAACAGCACTGCGCTCACGCTGTCCCCTCGATAGGGCAAGGTCGCGAGCGCACAGTAATAAGAACTATTAGACAAAAAGGAAAGCTGATAAGATAACGTTCACTCGGAATCACCAGAAATCCAAAAATTAACCATATACCACCCCAAACAGGGGTCACCCCCGATATCACAACGCTCTCCCGATGGTCCACACCACTACACCCCACACTGGCTCCAAATAAAATTAAATTGTTAATAATATCTTAGTGAAAATTACTAAATCACAGATAGCACTACTACCACACGACCGCACCGCACCGTTCGCATTTAGAGCATCATTTATGGTATTTAACATACGTAACTTTTACCAGTCGGACTAAAATTTTTCTTTCAGATATGTAAAACTGCTTATTCTGTTGTTTCAGTTCTCATCCGCGTGAGGAATGCTAACTATAATTAGGCTATTGCTTGTTTGGTTGGGTATTTGTAGATCTACAAATTCTTGGGGTGAATTCTTGTTGTTTTCGTCCACCATGTCCAGTAGGAGTTGAGGATGGCTGCTTATAAGTACGCCAGCTGTCATCATTATCATCATTAGTCGTTAAATCATTAGACTGATGGTGCGTCAACCCTGTCATCTGGAACCGGGTTGGATTGTTATTTTGCCTCATTTTCCTAAAACAGTTTGATATAATATTATTAATAATGAAACTTAGATTAGTGATCCTATAATAGCAATAAGTGATTTTATAGATTACATACACCATTATTATAATAATAAATACATAGTCATTAAATGGTCCAAAACTGATCTTGAAAATTTAAACATCGCAACAAGGAAAATCTTCACACAGTATAGAAGGCATCACCCAAAATCGTCGATTGAAAGATTCTCATTACCAAGACAGAATGGAGGAAGGGGTTTCCAGAACTTAGAAAACTTATATCAGAGACAAATTTCAGATTTGAAGAAGTATTTCTTGAAACGAGCGGAAAGAAATGAAATGTTTCACACCATCACAAGAGCAGATTTGAACCACACACCCTTAAATCTGTCGAACACCGAAGAAATCCACACCCCCCCACACAATAGATAAAATAATAAGTGGGCTAAAACAAAAACAACTACATGGAAAATTCTACAAAGACTTAGAAGAAAATCATGTCAATAAGAAGATGTCATTGATTTGGTTAAAAAAATCAAGTTTGTATGCCGAAACAGAAGGATTTGTGTTTGCTATTCAAGACCAAGTAATCAATACCAAGAATTATAGAAAATACATCATCAAAGATCCGAACATAAAAAACGACTGCTGTCGCCTATGCAAAGCAAAACCTGAAACGATCCAGCACATAATCTCTTCTTGCAGCATCCTAGCACAAACTGATTACAAAGCTAGACATGACAACGCAGCCAAAATCATTCACAAAGAATTAGCAACACTTATGAACTTAATCGAAGATACGACACCCTATTACACTTACATTCCGTCTCCATTCCTTGAAAATAACAAATACAAATTATACTGGGATCGCACAATACTTACAGACTTAAACATTACAGCTAACAGACCAGACATCATACTTATCAAAAAACACACGAACGAAGCCATTCTTATTGACATTGCTATTCCTAACACAAACAACATTATTCAAACATACGACACCAAGATTTCAAAATATCTACAATTATCGATAGAAATGAAATCCATGTTGAATCTTAAAAAAATTTCAATTCTACCCCTAGTTATCTCTAATGTAGGTGTAGTTCCAAATAGCTTAGTTGAGAATTTAAAGTCTTTGCATTTGAATGATTCAATAATTGTCAAAATTCAAAAAGCTGTTTTGTTAGGAACATGTCATATTGTTCGTAAGTTTCTTGAACAGTCTGATCATGTCAGTCAGATTAGATTAGCACCAGTAGGTCAGAGTAGTGTAGGTCACTTTTCATGTGATGCGCGGATAAATGGTCGGTAGTTACGCTGGACTTTTGGGGATGGGGTGAGATTAGAGAATAATAGCAGACTAATTTGTATGCTGTAATTCTAGAATCTCGAAAGTTGTTCTGTTAATCTAATCAATGCATATCATTACTTGGTCTTAGTACCCGTAATGATAGAAGTCTTGCCTGAATGCCGGTCATTTCCGGGTCAGTGGTGGGTCTTAATACATAGAATAAAAATGAGTAATGAGAAAAGGAGTTAACATAATTTGCATTTCTTTCAGCTTGATCAATTACACTGGAGAGTTCTTGTAAACTTTTGCTAGCTAAACCTAACTTGTGATAGTTATGGATGTTGTACAATTTAGGTACATACAAGGAAAAGTCTGTACTATTGATATTAATAATATACTATTATCGTATCATTGCAAATTATAGTCATTTAATTGAAAACTTTATTGAACATTAAGTACATCATAATTGTACTAAAAATCATAATACGTTAGACAGCTGGATATAAAACGTTATAGTTACAACAAAATTATTTATGGAAATGGATTTGAAAGTTCTGGCAATCCTTGAAGCTACTTGTCTTTGAGTTCCATCATACTGAATACTTGCGATTTTTTAACTCGGTAATCAACAAAAGGACACAAACTAGCAATAGAAGAACAAGACAACCAGAAACGAAAAAGAGAAACCTCCTTTTCACCATCACCGGAAGGTCAAAAAGTACAGAGGAAGCAGAAGAGGGTACAAGCAGGAGACATGGACGAAGTAAAGAATATGTTCAAAACGTTAATGGAGGAAATCGCAGAAATGAAAAGAGACCAAAGAGCATACCAAACAGAAGTAACAACACTAAGAGAAGAAAACCAAAGACTGACCGAAAGATTAGAAAGAGTGGAGCAACACTTAGAAAAACTGGAAAAAGCAGAAAGAAGAAATAACATCGTAATCAAAGGAGGGAAACTACAAGGAAGCGAAATAACAGCAGAGGTTGAAGAACTCCTAAAAAATAAGGTAGGAATCCAAACTAAGATACAAGACGCAAGATTAGTCAGCGAAAAATACGACATAGTAGTAGCAAAGATAGAGAACTGGGACACAAAAAGAGCAATCATGAAACAGAAGAACAAATTAAAAGGATCAAAAACGTTTATTGAAGACGATTACACCAAACAAGAGAGCGAGATACAGAAGAAAATAAGAGGAATAGCAGCAGCAGAAAAAGGGAAAGGAGGCGAGGCAAAAGTAGGGTACAAAAAGATGATATGGGCAGGAGAAGTCTGGCATTGGGACACTAAATTAGACAAATTAGTGAAAGCACCGTCGCAGCCCAAAGAAAATCCAAAAAACTAACAGAGGAAGAAACCACACACCGGAAAACAATGACGACGTATGCAAAGCTCATGGATGACCCGATAGGAATTACGAAGAGAAAGAAAAACCCGAAAATTAGAATAGGAACATGGAATGTTCGAGGAACATATAGCGAAGGAAAACTCAAACAAATAGTTCAAGAATTACAAAGGTATAATATAGATGTAGCAGCTATAGTACAAGAGACGAAACAAAAAGGCAAATTCATCACTGAAATAGATAACTACATATTATTTAATAGCGGAATTGACAACAGAGAACTAGAAACAGGATTCATGGTGAAGAAGAGCCTGAAAGGAGCAGTAATTACCTTCAAATTAATCTCAGAAAGAATGAGCTATATAAGATTGAGAAGTAAGTACAGGAAAATAAGCCTATTGAATATACATGCACCGACTGAAGAGAAAGATCTAGAAGTAAAAACAGAATATTACGAAGAACTAGAAAGAGAATATGTGAAAATACCAAAACATGACATTAAAATGGTTATAGGAGACGCCAACGCAATGATAGGTAAAGAGAATTGTTACAGGCCAACAATCGGGAAAGAAAGCAAACACCAAAAAGCGAATCAAAATGGAGAAAAACTGATAGAGTTTGCAGAAGAAAATAAAATGGTAGTCAAAAGCACCTTCTTTGCTCAGAAAGAGATCTACAAAGGCACATGGATGTCGCCTGACGGAAAAACGGTCAACCAAATAGACCACATACTGGTAGAAAGGAGAGATGTCCAACTAATAACCAGATTAAGAAGCTACAGGGGAGCAGAAGCGAATTCAGACCACTTTCTAGTAAGAGCAGACCTCAAACAAGAAATACCGAAGAAAAAAGAAGGAAAGAAGACACAACGTGATATAAATGTAAACAAACTTAAGAAAGCTGAAGTACAACAGGAATACGAACAAAAGATGAATGAGAGAATAAGACCAACAGAGCAAGACATACCTATAGAAGAGAAGTGGGAAGAACTACAAGAGAACATATGGAAGACCTCGGAAGAAGTGCTAGGGTTCGTCAAAAAAGACAACAAAAATAGAAACGAATGGTTTGACGAGGAATGTAGAAAAGCAATAGAAGCGGGGAGGTCAGCCAGACAGAAATATCTAAAGTCAAAAAATGAGAAGAACCAAAAAGATTACCAAGAAAAAAGGAAAGAGTACAAGAAGATATGCAGAAAGAGTACAAGAATGAAATAAGGAACTTCTACCAGGACGTGAAAAAAGAGAAAAGAGGCTATCAACCACGAGCAATATATGGTAAAGACAAGGACGGCAACCTGATAGGAGACGAACAAGCAAGAATAAAACGATGGGCAGAATACTTTGAAGAGCTGCTAAACGAACAGGATACACAGCAAGATACGAACGAAAGAGTGAACGACTCGGATGACCCAGACGAAATAATAGAAATTGACGAAGGAGAGATTAGAGAAACACTAAGGCAGACGAAAAACAACAAAAGTCCTGGTAGAAACGGAATAAAGGGCGAGATGCTAAAGTACGGAGGAGAAGCAGTAGCATCAGAGATACATCGACTAGTGCTAGAATTTTGGAAGGAAGGAAAAATGCCAGAACAATGGAGTGAAGCAGTACTTTGCCCGATATTTAAAAAAGGAGATATTACGAA